GGTCCCCACCATGATCCCAGGCAACCTCTGGCTAGCCCCTGCTCTCATTTTTATTGAGAGAGAATCCAACCCTGCATGGTGTGGGGTTCCCTTAGATAAAGGCCCTGGATCTAAAGTGGGGGGAGGGGGCTTAGAAAAAGTCTTAGTGTGGAATGTGAGGGCTCTCCAGGAAGCTGCATTGTCCCCTTCCCGCCAAATTCTCCCTCTGCTCCTTTCTTTCCCCTTGGACCCTGCTCCCCCTCAGTCTGGGGGCCTGAGGCAGCACAGCCATGTGCCCAGGCCCAATAGCTCTGAGGCTGGCAGAGGTGGGTTGGGGGTAGAGGGACACTCCTAGCCCCTGCTCTCTTCTTTTCTTCCTAGGAATATGTTATACAATATTTGACTTGGGCTTCCGCTTTGATGTGGCATGGTGAGTCGTGGCCCATGCTCTCCAGCACCCCCCTTCTAGGTCCTGAGGAGAGGTCCCGTCCATGGTCAGAGCTGGGTGGATGGCTGAGTGGCCAGGGGCTGGTGGGGAGTCTTTAGTTAGTGGGCTAGACCCAGAACAGGCACTGACCCCTTTTCTTGCGGCTTTACATCTTTCCTTGCCAGGTTCCTCACAGAGACATCACCCTACATGTGGTCCAACCTAGGGATAGGGCTGGCCATCTCCCTCTCTGTGGTGGGAGCCGCCTGGTGAGTATGTGTGTGCTGGGGCAGAGGGAGAAACACTTGAAGTCGAGATGTTGGGGAGTGGGATGGGGAGGTTAGGGCCTTGGTGTGCACTCATGTCCAATTAGGGGAAGGGGTGGGGATGGGGTACTCAGTGATGTTGATGCCTGAGCCCCCTTGGGGGTGGGCCTTGGCTCATCTTCTCATGCCTGTCCCCAGGGGCATCTACATCACAGGCTCATCCATCATTGGTGGAGGGGTCAAGGCCCCCAGGATCAAGACCAAGAACTTGGTCAGGTGAGTTTGGGATGGCCTAGGGAAGCATGTTTCCAGTGGTTAGCCTCCAGCCAAAATTCTGCTCTGTGCCTGTTCCCTGTGTCCTGGGAAGAAGACAGAATAGAATCCATCTTTTCCCAGGTTGGGAAGGAAAAAGGGCAGGGATTGGGATGGGTTGGGTGTATCAAGGGGAGGCTTCCTGGAGGTGGTGGGCCATGAAGGATGGATCAAACTCTAACCATCTTGAGCCACTGTCCTATGCTTCCAAATCCCACAGCATCATCTTCTGTGAGGCTGTGGCCATCTATGGCATCATCATGGCCATTGTCATCAGCAATATGGCAGAGGTAGGGGGTGACCGTGACAGGGGAGACATGGTGGGGGTGGAGGGCACTGACATCCTGGGATGGGAGATGGGTGTTGGGGCAGGGTGAGCTGTCACTCAGGGTTGGGGCATTTGTACTGACTAGAAGCCATGTGTCTTGCAGCCCTTCAGTGGCACCACCCCCAAAGCCATTGGAAGCCGTAACTACCATGCAGGTGGGCTTGGGGCAGGTCAGGCTTGGGCGGGTCAGGAGAGCCCAGATGTGGGCACTCCCTCAGCATTCCCCTCCCCTGTCCATAGGCTATTCCATGTTTGGTGCTGGCCTCACCGTGGGCCTGTCCAACCTCTTCTGTGGTGTGTGCGTGGGCATTGTGGGCAGTGGAGCTGCCCTGGCTGATGCCCAGAATGCCAGCCTCTTCGTCAAGATCCTCATTGTAGAGATCTTTGGTAGTGCCATTGGCCTCTTTGGGGTCATTGTGGCCATCCTTCAGGTAGGAGCCCAAAGCCTGGGGCGAGGGGGCGGGGCAGGGGGCCTGGGGCTCCCCTGCTCACTCCTGGTTTCTTTCTTTGTTTCTCTGTGTGTTCTCTGTCTGTCTGCCTCCTGTGCTTTCTTTGCAGACTTCTAAAGTAAAAATGGGAGACTAGGCCTGAAGCAGTGGGAGGGCCCTGCCCTGCTGTGCCCTACTCTTAATTTATTGGTTTTCCTGGGGGGCCTGGCTGCCCCAGCCAGTGGAGCCGCTCCCCCATGGTGTCCATGCTGTGTCCCTCTGGCCCTCACTGCGATCTGCCCCTTCTGGAGTCCCTCAGAGGGGCAGGCCCTGGCCTTGGGAGGGCATGTCCTCTGCCCACCTGTCCTGCCTCCTGCCCCATCCCCCACCTCACCAGTGTTTGAAATAAAGGTCTGTGTCCTGGGTCACCCCAGCTGTTGCTTCCCTGTTGATCGTTTCACAGAGGGGAGGGGACAATCTGTATGGTGCTTCGTGTGCCCCAGAGAAGGGGGTAGGAGGCCCTCATTCCCTTTAGTGGGTCTGGCTTTGGGGATCCTTGCCCCTTCTGTCCCAGTGCTTATATACCTGGGTGTGGCCAGACCAGATGCTGGTCACCCCGTATGGGGTGGGGAGGGGTTCCAGCTGCCCCTGTGCCCTGACATGCCTTTTCCCCCTTAAGTGCCCTCTGGGCGGCCCCTTGCCCTGCTGCTCTCCCTACTCCCCAGCAATCTTCAGTGCCTGTGGCCCTCCTGGAACCCCGACTGGCCCTAGCCTCCCCACCCCTCCAATCCTGACCACTCTGGTTCCCCGATCTCGCCCCTCTCACTTCTGCCCAGTCCACCCCCGCCTCCCCGCCCAGGCTTCTTCCTGGGCTTACAGCCGGCCACCAAGTCCCACCTCTTTGGGATCCCGGAGCTGTCGGAACCCCTGCCTGGGAGGCTCCGCCAATTCTGTGGGGCTCCGCCTCCTCGGGCTGCCTCCTCGGGTCGGGCCCCGCTCCCCTCCCCGGGCCTTGCCACCGCCCAGCCCCGCCCCCGAGCCCCCCCTTCCTGCCGTGGATTTTACATGGACCCGCCCCTCTCCCCAGGCCCCGCCCCTGAGGCAGCCCGCCGTAGATTTTATACGGATAGGCCCGCCCCTCTATCCAGGCCCCGCCCTCTCCAGTTGCTTGCTGGGGTTTTACCACTGGCAGTGACCTGTGGGCTTCGTAGGCTCCGCCTCCGACGCCGGGGCGGGTAGTTTCAGCGGGAGTCTTTTTCGGCCTAGGTCACACCCCCTTCCCCTCCAGGCTCCTCCCTCCGTGGCTTCTGCGCCTGCGGCCTGGAGCTCCGGGGCGCGCGGACGGGCGGGGCGGGGCAGGGCGGAGCGCACGCGGGGGCGCGCGGCGCCGCTCCCTGCTTCCCCTGCGAGGCTCCGTCTCGGAGGCTCCGGCTCCGGCTCCGGCTCCAGCGGCCCCGGGCGGGCCGCAACATGCCCCGCGGAGGAGGAGGCGGAGGAGGAGGCGGGAGCGAGAGCGGACTCGGCATCGGGCCTCCGGGGAGGCGCTAAGAGGGCTCCGGGGCCATGGGGGACGGAGCGGCCGCGGCCCGGCCCGGCCCCGGCCCCGAGCCCGAGCCCAGCCCCGCGGGGCCCTGAGCGCCGAGCGCAGCCGGTGAGGATGCGGGGAGGGGCCCTGAGCGCCGAGCCCACCTCACCGCCCCCCCACCTGTACATCCCGGTGGGGCCCTGAGCGCTGAGTCCACCCCCTTTACCCCCAACCTGTACAGCCCAGGGGGTCCCTGAGCGCCGAGTCCACCCCCTTCAACCCTCCCCCCATACAGCCCAGCGGGCCCTGAGTGCCGAGTCCACCCCCTTTACCCCCCCCACCTATACAGCCCAGCGGGGTCCTGAGCACCGAGTCCAGCCCCTTCACCCGCCCCCCCACTTTTACGATCCAGCGGGGCCCAGATTGCCGAGCCCTTCTCCCTTTCCCCCACAACCTGTACAGCCCTGAGTGCCAAGCCTACACCTCCTCTCCTTCTCTCTGACACCCACGCCCACACTCACTCTGGGTCTGTGAGACCCACCAGTCTGGCCCCACTGTACCCTGAAGGCTGAAGCCCACGCCCCCTCTGGTCCTCTCCTACTGATCCATTCCAACTAGCTGGTCAAGAGACGAAAAAAAGGAACAGTTGGGGAATTGGGAAGTGCCATGCAGGCCCACAGCTTAGGGGACCCCTAGCCTCCCCTTTCAGAATCCCACCTTCCCCAGTACCTCTCTCCTTTCACCTGCATCCCTGACCTGCTTTGGCCTCTTTGTCCCCGATTCTCCCAGGGTTCCTTCAGGTCTCACTGAGGTTTTTTCCCCATTCAATCCCTTGTTCTTTTCGTGTTCCTCCCCTTACCTTCAGACTTCCCTAGGTCCTTTCATTCTTCCCTCCCCTTTATTTTTCTTCTTCCTCCCTTCCTGGTTCAGAGCCTCTTTGCTGATCCCTAACTCCAGCCTTGGAGCTTTGAGTTTGTCGTGAACCGAACTCAGCCTCCATGTGCTTGAACTGGGGCCTTGTTTGGCTGAGAGAACATGGCAGCAGTTGGGTTGGCCAGGCTGGCTAGGGCCTGAGCCTCTGGAGCTGGGGAGAGAGGAGATGGGTGGGTGCTGCTGCTTCTGTGTGTCTGTGAGTACTTGTGTCCCACAGAAAGTAATGATTGCCCTGCCCCTCACATAAGGGGATGGCTGCTGCTGGGCAGTGCCACCTGTGACCCTCTAATGCCAGCCAGGGCTACCTTTCTTCTGTTGAAAAAGGGCCCAGCTGCCTCCTCCTCCCTTCCTGAGGCCTTGGGCATGCCCACTGTCTGCAGTCCCTAAGGTCCTTCTTGGCATCTCGCTCAGAACCGGGGGTGTCTGGCAGCTTCTGTCTTTCTCAGCCTCAGGGTGGGGTCCCAGATCCTTCCCAGCAGTCCGAGAACTCCAGCCAGGGCAGGAGAGAAGAAAGGCCGTGAACCTTCTCTGGGCTTGCCTTGCCCATTCCGGGGTCTTCTTCACTCCCTCCCAGCTTTGTGCCTTTGGGAGTCTGGGAAAAGACTGGTCCAGCTGAGCTCATTGCCCTTCTTGGGGACTTGGATTCAGGTGCTGGCCTTCTGTGGGAGCTGGGGGATTGCTTTGAGAGCTAGCGGCTCCCCCAGACCATCAGTAGTTGAGCCTGCCCGGGCGGCGCGGGCGTTGGGGTCCCAGTTGGGGCTGCCTGCTGCCAGGGTGGAGCCAGCTGGCTATTTGTTGGCAGGGCCGGCAGGACCAATGCCCAGGCCGAGCCGGGCAGCCAGAAGATGAGCAGGCTGCTGGGGGGGACCCTGGAGCGGATCTGCAAGGCTGTGCTGCTTCTCTGTCTGCTGCACTTCCTCATCGCTGTCATCCTCTACTTTGACGTCTATGCCCAGCACCTCGACTTCTTCAGTCGCTTCAGTGCCCACGGCCGCCGAACCGCCGCTCGCTCGTTGCACCCCGCGGCTGCCACGGGCGTTGGCACCAACTGCTCCCGGCCCAACGGCACAGCGCCCAGCTCGGAGGCTCCTAGCCCCCGGCTGGACGCCAACCACTCAGTCACCACGATGCCCCTTCCCCCGTGCCCTGACGTGCCGCCTGGGTTAGGTGAGGCCCTTTGCAGGGCATGGGGGGCCGGCTCTGTGTGTGCAAGGGGGAGGTCACTGGGGCTTGACTCCCCCGGCGGCTTCCCTTACAAGTCCCTTCCCTCCCCCAGTGGGCCGGCTGCTGATTGAGTTTAGCTCACCCATGCCAATGGATCGGGTCCAGCAGGAGAACCCTGGCGTGCAAGGGGGGGGCCGCTATGCCCCCCCCGACTGTACCCCTCGGCAAACCGTGGCCATCATCATTCCCTTCCGCCACCGGGAACACCACCTTCGGTACTGGCTGCACTACCTGCATCCCATCCTGCGGCGGCAGCGGCTGCGGTACGGCATCTACGTCATCAGTCAGGTGTGCGTGGCCAGTTGGCGGCCGGGGGGAAGGGGGGCTGGGGAGCAGGGCCAGTGTCTCACTCAGCCCTCCCAGAGCCTTGAATGGCTAAAGTTGGGACCCCCTGGGGCTGGCCTGGGCTGCTGGGCCATTGAGGAACAGTGCTTCCAAGCTTCTGCCTGTCCATCCGCACACCCAGGCCTTCCCCAGCTGCTTGCTCACCTGGACAGCTGGCTTTCCTGCTTGTTTTTAAGTTTTAGGAAAGTTGGGTATTGCCAGTTCTTCCTTGTTACCCAGAATATGCCACTGTTGGGCACAGAGCAGACTCTCCCGTCTGTGGTTAATTAGCCATGTGGTATGATGGGAGGGTCCCCCTCCCCCAGATCTGGGGGCAGAAGGCTTGGCTTTGCCGTTTGCTCCCTGGTGGATCCTGGGCAAATCGCTCCTTCTCTTTGGACTTCAGTTTGCTTCTTAATAAAATAAGGGCCCTGGACCTCATGCCTCCTGAGACCCGGAGCAGCCAGGGGCCTGTCCAGCCAGGGCAGGCTACCCTGTTGTTCTGCTCTTCCTGATCTCAAAGAACCAGGCGCGGCGGCGGTGGTGACCCCCGCCCCCGTCTCTCTGTGTGCGTGAGGCCTCGGCTCGGGGGCCAGGCCCTCCCAGGAGGCTTTCCTGACGTGGCTCCGTGGCATGACCCCCAGTAGAACGTCAGCTTTTTGAGACCAGGGCCTGTGCCTGGCTGACCTCGGAGGATGCTTTCTGTCCTCTTTCTCACTCTCAGGCATGTAGAGGCACAGAGTCGTTCTGTGAGGTCGTCAGAGGACGGGGCCTGGCCTAGGGCTCCTGAGCCTGGGCCTGGGGCCGGGCGTGTCTGCTGGGGGGCAGTCCAGTGACTGTCTTGTGTTTCCTCCTGCCCGGTGCCGCCTCCTCCCCCAGCATGGCGAGGACACGTTTAACCGGGCCAAGCTCCTCAACGTTGGCTTCTTAGAGGCACTGAAGGAGGACCCTGCCTACGACTGCTTCATCTTCAGTGACGTGGACTTGGTGCCCATGGATGACCGCAACCTCTACCGCTGTGGGGAACAGCCTCGTCACTTTGCCATTGCCATGGACAAGTTTGGCTTCCGGTGAGCACGGCTCTTCTTCTTCCCTGGGGGGTGGGGAGTGAGGCTGCTGTCTTTGCCTCCAGATCTGACGGAGTGCCTAGCCCCTTCCCTGCCGTGCTGTAGAAGCTGCTCATGGTTCTTTCGGGATGAGGGGTGGGCGGAGCCTTTGGGCCCATGCTACCAGACTGAGCCCATTTGCTCTTGACTCTCTGCAGACTGCCCTATGCTGGTTACTTTGGGGGTGTATCAGGTCTGAGCAAGGCCCAGTTCCTGAAGATCAATGGCTTCCCCAATGAGTACTGGGGCTGGGGGGGTGAGGATGACGACATCTTCAACCGGTGAGGCTGGGGCTTGGGTTGTGCCGAGAGGTTGAAGTGGGGTGGGTGGGGACTGGTCTCAAGAGTCAGTTAGGCTAGGGGGGTGGAGATAGGAGGGATGGCTTGGGGTGCTGGGCTCAGGGCTCAACCAGGTTAAGTGGGGGTGAGAAGGATGGGAGGTATCTGTAGGGGCAAGGGCAGGGGGCTGGGCAGTTAGGGGGTTAACTGGGCCTACATCATTGCCTCTGACTCGGAGATCTTTACTCAGCCTGAGTCCCACCCCCCTCCATCTCCCCTAGGATTTCCCTCTCAGGGATGAAGGTCTCCCGCCCAGACATCCGCATCGGCCGATACCGAATGATCAAGCATGATCGGGACAAGCATAATGAGCCCAACCCCCAGAGGTGACCCCTGACCCCACCCCCACATGGCCCCTGACCCTCATCCCCCATCCTCAGATGGTACCTCCTCTCAACGCCTTCAGGCAGCCTGAGGCACAGTTAAGAATAAAGACCTCAGCAGTTCTTAAGAAAACCATTTTTATAATTTAAGTCTATGTTTAGAGATTAGACTCGGTGTTTCCTGAACACCTGTGCCTATCCCTCTCCTGGGCACTGTGAGGAATGTGCAGGGAGCCCCCCAGCCCCAGGCACACTCAGCAAGAAGTTGGGCTTCTGTTTCTGGGGAGAAGCTGAGGCCTCTACCTTAGAGACACTTCAAATCCAGTCACTCCAGGAAGGGGAGGTCCTGCGCCCGGAGCAGTCAGGGTAGGCTTCCTAGAAGAGGTGGGACTGAGCGGAAGGCTAGTCTTAAGACAAGTGGAGGAGCACATCATGAGCCAGAGCCTGGTACGGTGCAGGCGAGCAGGCCCCTGGGAGGTTAGCTGGAGAGGGGTGTGGTGGGAGAGGAGGCTGGAAAGACAGGTTGGCTCTTGAGCTTGAGTGTGAGCTCATCAGATCTAGATTTTAGGGTGACTGGAAGCATGGACGGGGGCCAGTGGCTTTTGAGGTAATCAGGAATGAGGGAAGGACTCATCAGGCTTTGGTGCCAGACTGGAGAGAGGAAAGAAAGGAAGAGAAGGTGGTCTGCTGGCGGGCAGGGGTAGGTGTGAGTGTGATAGTGGTGGTGTGTGACCTATGTTGAGTGATCTGAACCCTGGACTCCTGTAGGGGAAGGACCTATCCTCTCCATAAAAGCACAGGATACAAAGCATTGGGAGACCCAACATTGAGGGGGGGAGGGGATGCCTGGGGACTGAGGGGTCTGGGGAGGCCACAGTGGGGAGGTAGCCCCTGATACGGATCAGGACTCAGAGGAGAGGTAGAAAGCACAGGCTAGGTAGAGAGAGGTTCTGAGCAAGCAATTGAGGAGTTGGTCATGGAGAGTGAGGGTAGAGACAAATTTTGGGGGCCAAGTGAGGGTGGCCTCAAAAGCTCGGGAGCAGGGACAAGGGGCCTCCAAGCTGGCATTCCAGGAAATGGCTGGCTTCTGTATGTGAGCTGTAGAGGAGGCGCTAACGGGGCGCAGAGGTGGTGATGAGGTAGCTGGGTGCCAGGCCCTGCACTGGGCACAGGGAATCCAAAGGCAAGTGAAATGATCCCTGTCCTCAAAGAGCTGCATTTTAGGCAGGTAAAACATCAGGAACACACACCAAAGTACAGAGTTGAGTAAATGAAAAGTCATTGGGCTGAGATGGAAGGAATTCAGTGGTGCCATGAAATAGAGGGAGGGCATCCTAGGCAGGGAGTTGGCCAGTGCAAAGGCCCAGAGATGGGAGATGGGAGGTTGTGTCCAAGGAAGCACAAAGTACAGAAAAGCTGGAAAGGTTAGGCGGGCAGAGTCAACCTCAGGCTGTTGCGGTGGTCCAGATGTGAGGAGATGGGGCCCTGCACCAGGGTGGAGGCCGAGTCAGAGAGAAGGGGGCAGATGATGAGATGTCACAAAGGTAGATGGGCGGATTTTGGCAACAGCTTGGATGTGGGGTGGGTGGGAGAGTGAGGCGTTGAGGATGTGAGACGCGGAAGGTGATGAAGCTCTTTTGGGGCAGCCCCTTCCATGGGGGACAGCTGTCATTGACCTCTGACCTGAGTCTGCCTGGGCAGCTTTCCCCATTCCTCCTGATTCTGCCCTCCAGGGCCAAGCGGGAGTCATAGGTTCATAGAGCTCTAGCTGGAAGGGATCTTGAAGGAGGAAACTGAGGCCCAGGGCATTGATTTGCCCAAGGTCACTTGGGTAATGAATGGGTAGCAGGATTTGAACCCAGGGCCTCTGACTTCACAGCTTGTCTTCTCTCTACTTTGCCACACTGCCTCTATCCATCACTGCCCCTCTTCCACCTGACAGCCCCTATGGGTTCTCATCTCAGTCTCAGGGGCATCTCCTGCCACATTCTTAGACAAGAGTCCCTCTGCAGCATCCCCTAGTAGTCACCTCCCCTTCATGGAAGACGTCCTTCCTGGTCATTTGTGAAAAATGGTGAACGGTACAGGGCTGAGTACAGATGTCTGGGGCACTCCACCGGAGACCCTCTTGCCAAATTGACATGGAACCATTAATGACGACAACTCAGAATTCCAGTCAGGGGGAACTTGGTAGCCACCAATCCAATGCACACCTGAAAAGGACTCATACTGTTCCACACCTGGCGAGTGGTCAGCCAGTCTCTGCTTAAAGCCGAGTGATGGGGAGCCCATCGTTTCCCAAGGAAGCTCACTCAACTTTGGGGCAGCTCAGGCTGCTGGGAAGTCTTTCCTGATGTCATACCTGAATCTGCTGCCCCCCTCCCATTGCTCGTGGCTGTGCCCTCTGGGATCAAGCAGAGCGAGATGGGACCCATCTCGGTGTAACTTGGACACTTATGTGCCCTACAGCAATGCAGAGACATTGCTTAGGCAAAGCCTGGACCTGCCTGCCCTTCTGGTGACTGCTGCCCACATCTCCCTGCTCCACCCATCCGCCGCGGGCTTCCTTTGCCTCTTTCAGTGCCAAGTTGGCCATCAAGTCTCTTACTCTGGTTGTGTGACCAGCCCGTGGGTCTTGACCCCAGTTCCTTATCTGGGACACTGCAGCTTTCATCCTTTCCATCACCCTTGGAGTGGTCCTTCACTCAGCTCTTGAGGCTGCAGCATTTCGTGATTCTCCACATGGCCAGCTGGATGTTGGTGCTACAGAACTGGCCATTCACAGGACATCCGTCTTTCCAAGGCAGCGGCGCGGTCTGCCGGCCACCTGCTGTCCCAGCTCAGTGGCCTAGCGGAAGACCTCAATGGGCCATCCGTCTTGTGGCTTGTTGGAAGAGCTGGGCCAGGCTTCTTCCTCCACTCCCGACATTCTCCATTTTTTCCCAACTCCCGAGGGATGCCGGCTCTCCATTTGGAGTGTCTGCAGTCTTCTGGGGCTCGCTTCTGCTGACCTGGTGTCATTGGCAAGCAGTCCGTTTCCTTTTGGCCTGCCCTGCTGATGGGTCCCAGCCTCTAGCAATCCTACATTGTCCGGTGTCACTTCCTGCTTGATCCGGAATTAGAGTGGACGTTACCCTGTTGCATCTTTTAAGGAGTAGTGTGTCATTTTAATGAGGGAGACTCCTGGTGAGAGCAGAATCTTCAAGGCCGTGTTTTGCTAGACTGAACCCAAGGCTTTTTCTCCTAGTCCCCGAGGAAGAAGTGCAATGGGATCTTGTTTCTCCATGACCTTCGGTCAGTTGGGTGACTGCTAGGATCCATGCGTATTGCTTGGGAGAGAGAACTTTGCCGACTCCTTCTCCTGGCTTCATTAAGGATGTATGTACTAGACGGGCCTCGGAACCCATCCTATGGGTGTCCTCTCGCTGGGCATTTTTGGTAATGATAAGGCCCCAGTTTCTAGGACGCTGGGATCCTCTTCCCTTTCTGATACATCGAAACCAGACCCCTCAAGGACTTCATGATCTTGTGGCCTTGGCGCCAGGCCGCTTCTGTGTGGGCTTGGTCTAACCTGCTGCAGTCTTTTTCCTCAATGCCATTTCCCTTCTACACTGTCAGAGAACTTGAGAGCCAGATGGGACCTCAGCAGCCCAATTTGTCCAATGCATACCTGAAAAATAATCCCTTTTAGGACATCTCTGCCCCTGCTTGCATTCTTGCAAGGATGGGGAGCTCACCATCTCCTGGGGCAGCCCATTCCACTTTGATGGTAGAATTGATGGGCGGGAAGTCTTTCCTGACATCAGGCTTAGATCGGCTTCTCTGCAGCTTCATCCCATTGCTCCTGGTTCTGCCCTCTGAGACTAAGGTCTTTCAAGGCCTGGACCTAGAAGATAGGAATTATAAGAATCTCTAGCTCCTTCAGCTGTTCCTCCTTTGTCACCACTTCCAGGCCCTCTACCCTCCTGGCCCCCTTCCTTTGGATGCTTTCCGGCTTATCAGTGCTTCCTAAACTGTGGCATCCAGACCTGAGCACAGGTCTCCAGATGACTCTGGAGCAGGGCCCTGGACAGGGGATCTGTCATCTGGCACCTCTTGTTCCCAGCAGCTCTTTGGGCCTCCATATCACACTTCTGATTCATGTTGCAGTTGCAGGCCATGAAAACAGGTCTTAGTCAGACAAGATGCCTGCTAGCCATAGCTTTCCCATTTTGTACCTTTGAGCTCTATTTTTTTTTTTAAAGGCAGTTGGGGTTAAGTGACTTGCCCAGGGTCACACAGCTAGTAAGTGTCAGGTGTTTGGTCTGAGGCTGGATTTCAACTCAGGACCTCCAGACTTCAGGGCCGGTGCTGTATACACTGTGAGCTCTGTTTCTTGAATCCCGACTTTACATTGATCCCTATTGAGTTTCATTTTATTAGATTCATCCTCTGGATCCTGGCTCTGTTATCCAGCACTTAGCCCAGTGTCAGCCACAGATTTGATAAGCATGTCATCTATGGCTTTGTCACAGTCATCAGTAAGGCCCCAAAGCATAGCACCAAACAGGGACCTCTGGGGGTGCTCCCCTGGAGACTTCCTGCCACATGGACACAACCCCACACGTGACTCCTCTCCCTTTGACCATTCATCCAATTGACACTCTGTCTGACTGCATGAGGTACTTCAATGGACGCTTGGCTCAAATCTACGTAAACATAACTCTCAATCAACCAGCCTTTATTAAAGTGCCTATTCTGCTCCAAACTGTGATAAGCGCTGGTGATGCAAAAAAAGAGGCAAAAGACAGTCCCTTGTCCTCAGGGAGCTTATAACTGGATGAGTTGTAGTATCTGTACTCTATAATCTGGATCCATTCTCCTTGGCTGCCAGCCTGTTAACCCTGCTGGAGGGCCCAAGAGCAGCCTGGCACAATTTGGTCTTGATGCTATGCTCCTTTTTGTGATCACTGCTTTCTATGCTGACTGCCCCGCAACTGTCTAGAATTTTGCGTGGAATTGATGTTGAGCTCCCTGGCCTGTAGTCTGAGAATTCTGTTCTCTTCCCCTCTCCCCCTTTTTTAAAAACTGAATCTTCTCGACATCACTGACAGTGGCCCAGCCATCCCACCTGCCGGTTTTATTTGCTTTTTTTTTTCAGGGCCTAAAGATGTAGTTCATTCATCTTGGCTAGGGACCTGAAATCCCCCCAGAGCAGCTGGGTATTTTCCTGCCATCTTGTGCTGTATCTTGGGTATCAGCTTCTTGTTTGCCACATTTATTCCATTATTTCCAAGTGTGAAATTTGTTCTTCTTGGTAGAGAAAATGGAGTCAAAATGAAAAGTGAGCAGTTCCTCGTTCCTCTCTGAGCAGAGGTCCCATCCCTTCTCTGAACCTCTCTCCCCCAGTCTATCTAGAGCCGTCAGCGTTCCTTGCCAGCCCCAGCTCAGCCTGATGGTACTGCTCCTCACACTCTTCTCCATCTCATGGTACCTTCTACTTGCTTCCGTCTTCTGCACTCAACTTTTTTTTTTTTGCTTTTTTTGTGAGGCAGTCAGGGTTAAGTGACTTGCCCAGGGTCACACAGCTAGTAAGTGTTAAGTGTCTGAGGCTGGATTTGAACTTAGGTCCTCTTGACTTCAAGGCCAGAGCTCTATTCACTGCGCCAACTAGCTGCCCCTGTACTTAACTTTTTAAAATAGAAGTTGTTTGGTGAGTTCCCTATGTGTCAGAGGGGGTGGATACTTCTCCCTAAAATGACCCTGTTCCCTTCTCTTTCTGCCCCAGTTGATCTTCATTCACATGTTCTCTCCCATGCCTCCCATCTGGTTCCTCCATTTTCTCACAGTGTGTTCCCCCTGCCCATTTTTGCCAGTCTTTTTCCTTTTGAAGAAGGAATCTTGGCCCCAAACCAGCAAGGAGGTCTGGTGGACCTGGAGTTAGGAAGACCTGAGTTTGAATTTTGTCTTAGACACTACTTGTATAAACCCGGGCAAGTCATTTAACCTCTCTGTGTCTGAATTTCTTCATCTGTAAAATAGGGATAGGGCTGTTGTGAGCATCACATGAGCTGACACATGTTGCTTTTGAAATGTGGGGTATTATTATTCCAGCAAATCTCATGATGCCTAGGAAGGCAAGTGTGTTTGCCAGTGTCAGGGACTTGAGGTCTGTGGACCTCTCCATCTTGCTGTTGCCTGCTGTTGCCTGTCTTCCTTTCACCTTTATCTTTAAATGCCCTTGGGATGACTTTGCTTAGCTGGGTTAAATATTTTTCTCTTTGCTGCTTCTTGGTGTTTATTAGTTCAGCTTTTTTAGGAAATGTTTTTAATCTGTGTCAATATCCATTCCTCTGTTCACAAATCAACAGTGTATTTTAATCAGTCAGATTGGAGTCATTTTTGTTGTTGATTGTGTCTTTGTCTTATTTGTATTCTTCGTGTTTTATATGAGCTTTGGTCTTTGTGCTAAGCCAGGGCTGGGGAACTTAATGCCCTTCCAGGTCCTTGGGCATGGACTTTCTGACTAAGTCCAAGTTTTACAGAACAAATCCTTTCATTAAGGGGATTTGTTCTGTGAAGTTTGGATTCAGTCAGAGGGCTGCACTTAGGAATGACTCCAACATCAGTAATGAGTTTTTTCTATTAACATAGAATCTATTAATGTAAAAAAAAAACCCCAAAAAACCTTCTCTCACCATGTTAAAACTTCCCAGTTCATTTCTTGTAGAAAGTATTTCTGACATATTGATGGGAGACTCTGACTTGAAGAGTTCTTGTGGCACCCCTCCCCCTACATGTGTGTGTGACTTTATATTTATCGTGATTCTTTTTTTTTTTTTTTTTTTTTGGCTAGGCAGTGGGGTTAAGTGACTTGCCCAGGGTCACACAGCTAGTAAGTGTTATGTGTCCGAGGCCGCATTTGAACTCGGGTCCTCCTGAATCCAGGGCCGGTTCTCTATCCACTGTGCCACCTAGCTGCCCCAATCCTGATTCTTTGTAGGTCTTTTCGGGTCCCTCTTCCGTCATCATGTTAACTTGTCAGTTCGATCTCCTCTGTGAATCTGTTAATTACGCCACATGTGCCTTCATACGCGTCACTAATAAATAGACTGGATTAGCCTCCAATGACTTTTCACCTAAGCCTCTTCATCTTGACGATAAGCGTATGGTGGGAAGCCTTGGTCTGAAAAGGACAGACTAGAAACAGTGGGGTGGGGGTGGGAGCAGAAATCAATGGTGGGGCCCCCACTACAGGATGCTCAACTCCTGCTTCAAGATCTGTTTTCTTGATGCACATAATTGAGGTTGTCAAGCAAGAGCATCTTTGTTATCTTTCAAGGCATCCCATCTACTTTTGATTTATGAAACACTCCTTGTTGGAAGAGAGACGCCCTCTCAGGCCAAACTGGCCTCCTTGCATTGGGGTTTCATTTTTCATGCTACAATCACTGAATCAATTAAATCTGTGCTTGATGACTTGAACTCATTGAGGGTCACTGGGTACTCCCTTATCATCTGTTTTCCAGATTTGTCATTGATTTTTTTTCTTCTGTCTGAATAGTCTGTAGCAAATTCTTGTTCCTTCTTTGATCTTCACCTGGGGCTGTCTGTTGGTTGCACCCCACTTTGGTGCCTGGATTTCCTCCCATAAACATTTCTTTCTATGAACATTTTTTGTTTTGACATCACTTCCCAACAGACCATCTCCCATTTTCCCATCAGCCACGTGAAGCCCCCAAAGGTAAGGGGGTCAGTGGAGGGTCCCCGTCACTTTTCACACTTGTAGTTGACTATGAACAGAAAGCTAGGCTGTGTGGGGAGTGCCTTTCCTCATCTTCACGCTGTGACTTCTGGGCTCCTTTGATTTCCGTAGTTCCTTCATCTGATGGCAGTCTGGAGCCCCAGACTGTCAGGTCTTGGGGATCCCTCTGTCTCTGCCATTGTTCAGACCCCTGGATCCCAGACCTCGTCTCCTGTCCCGTGTGCATTTGTGGGTAGATAACTGAAGGCCGATGTTTTTATGTTGCCCCCTTTTTGAAGCAATCTGTGGCAATCCTGATCCTCCCTCTCCACTGATGGCATTCTTCCTCACTTGGCACCTCAAAGGATCCTAGGGTTCAGACTGCACACCTTACAGTTGGAGGTAAAGCACTTTGCCCAAGGTGGCAGGCAGCAGAGCTGGGCATCAGCCCCAGCTCCTGCCTCCAAATGCTGCATTCCTTCCCCTGGCTTAGGGGCTGTGCCTGTGCCCAGGTACAATGTGCTGATGATCTCTGATGTAGAGTGCTTGGCATCTGCCCTGGCCCTTTCCCTTCGCCCTATTCAGGGTCCCGAGTCCTTCCTGCCCCTGCCGTCCTCCTTGCCCCTGCCCTCTGCCCTGCTCGGGGCCCCGAGGCTGACCCTGAGCCCTCCCCCCAGGTTCACCAAGATCCAGAACACGAAGCTGACCATGAAGCGGGACGGCATTGGTTCGGTGCATTACCGAGTGCTCGAGGTGTCTAGGCAGCCACTCTTCACCAACATCACCGTGGACATTGGCCGGGCCCCGCCACGGCCGGCCCGAGGATGACGCACACTGCCCAGGAGCTCGGGGTGTCCGTGGAGTGCAGGGGCAGGCGTGCCTGCTGGCCTGTGACTGACTTTGAGGAGCTGCCCCACTGGCTGTGGGCATGAGGCCACCCTTCCCAGGGGGGGCTGGGCCAAGCAGGGCTGGCAGGGCGCCCTCATGCCTCTCCTGGTGCGAGACTCGAGACTGCTCACCTGGGTGGCTTAGTGTTCATTGGTTGGTCTGTCTGTCTGTCTGTCTGTCTGAGTCAGAAGGCTTCTTCCTGTTTTCTGACCTGCTGGCTCAGGGACCTGGGCTTCCTCACCACTGTGGGCTCCAGCTGGTGCCCCAGGGAGGGGGAGGGGCTCGCTCCTCCAGCCAGGCTGCCTGCCCTCCCCCCCAGCACCTCAGGTTCTATCTAGGGGGGTGTTTTCTGGGGACACCGAGTCCAGGGGAGGCAGAGGTGACTCAGTACCACCTGGGGGGTTGGGAGTCTCCCACCTGCATTTTGCCCCCCCCAGCCCAGCTGCCCTCTGCCTCACTGTCAGGGGACCCCTTGTGGCCCCCAACCCCACCACTGCCTGGCTGGCCTTAGGCAAGTTCCTTAACCGTTCTGGGCCTCAGTTTCCTCATCTGTAAAATGAGGGGGTTGGACTATATGATCTTTGAGGTCCCTTCCCAGCTCTGAGATCGTGTCCCTACTTCACCTCTCTGTGCCTCAGTTTCCCCATTTAAATCCCCAATTCCTTGAGAGGGGGAGGAGCCAGCATCACTACCCCTGGGCCCTCTTGAGATGGAGGGCTCTCCCTGCCCTTGCCCAAGGGCCTGCGGGAGCAGAAGGAGGTAGAATCTAGAAAGGGATGAGCCCGGGCTCAGGCCCTCGCTACCAGCTTTGGGGCCCCCAGACTTGGGTCAGGGCCGTGGGAGGCTGGGCTGTTGTGTCCATCTGAGGTGGCGGACTTGCATGGGTCAGGGGCTGGGCAGGACAACCGATGACAAAAACTAGGCCCCTGATAGGGTAGGGGCCCCTCCCTCCCCTGCTTGGGGATCTTTGTATATCACATGGGAATTGGTTTGAGTGCTTTAGTAAAAAACCTGAAGAGAACTGGGGCTGAGCCTAAGCTATTTTCCTACCATGGCTTCCACATGCCTTTTCATGGGGAGGGGAACCAGGAGAACTCGGGTCGTCATTGCTACAAGGGGATGGCAGTGGGCCGGTGAGAACCCAAGGAGATCCTCCCCCACACACTGGGGAAAGAAGCCTCATGTGCCCGTCTTGCAAGGAGGGGAAGCAGTCAGGAAACTTCCCCCTTGGATTAAGGGGCAACCCTGGGGTCCTATCATCCCAGAAGGAGGGGGAGCACCCTCAGGGCCTAGCAAGAGCTCCCCTTCATTCTCTGGCATTCCCATTATAAATGTGCAAAGCCTCCCCCTCACTGGAGGTATGACCTTCCAGGTTGGGGGGAGTGGAGCTGTCAAGGGGAATCCTTGTTCAGGAACCCACTGGGCTTACTTAAGTCCTCTGCAGGCTCTAAGAGTCTCTGACAGAAAAGCCCAGCCCTAGTCAGTCTATTTTTTTTTTAAGGCAATTGGGGTTAAGTGACTTGCCCAGGGTCACACATCTAGTAAGTGTCAAGTGTTTGGTCTGAGGCCGGATTTGAACTCAGGTCCGCCTGACTTCAGGACTGGTGCGCCATCCACTGTACCACCTAGCCGCCCCAAACAGAATGGACACAGATTTTCTTTATTTTTAATTATTATTTTTTTTAATGGGGCAATGGGGGTAAGTGACTTGCCCAGGGTCACACAGCTAAGTGAGTGTTATGTGTCTGAGGCCTGGTTTGATCTCGGGTCCTCCTGACTCCAAGGCTGGAGCTCTATCCACTTCGCCACCTACCTGCCCCCCTCCTCAGTCTTGAAATGATGTGGGATCCTGAAGACCACCAATGGAAGGCACGTGGGCTTGGCTAGGTTCTGCCCAGCTTGGGGCTTTGAGGCAGAGATAGCCGAGGACCTGTCCAGGGAAACTCACCTGGGGGATGAGTTTTTGGCCACAGCAACTAGCTCAGGTACCGAGATGAAGAAGCCTTGTAATCTGCATGGAACGAGGGGGTCCTTCATCAGTGAAATCATGGACCTTTGAATCACCTGACTGTGGGTAGGGACTGTTGGCACCAGGCTAAAATGAGACTGCCCCTGCCTGCCCCCTAGGAGGATCACCTACAAGCATAAATAAATAAGGACAAAGTGATTAAGGAGGGCAGAGGCCAACCCTTCAGTGAAGAAAGGTCCAGGGATGGAAACGGGCTTCGCTTCATTTCTGAGAACATCTCCTTTGTGGGCTGACTTGTAGAATTTGAGTCCCCAGCCTCTATCTACCCATCCTTTTTTTAAAGCCCTTTGAAATCTGCCCTCCCAGAATCTAGGGTGTGTCATGCTGCATTTGGGCTTCCTCTATCACAGACTCTAAAAGGGAGTAGGTAATTTCCCCTGAGGATTCCCATCACTCCCACCACACAGCTAGTGCCTGCCTGGCTGCTTTGTGAGGCTACATCCAGAATGGAATTTCCTTGAGTGGCTGGTCTACTTGAAAATGGGGGAATGTCCTCTTAACTAATCTCTGGAGTCTGTGGGGATGACTGAAGCCGAGGCCTTTGTACTAGGCTGGCAAGCTGCTTCCCAGACATTATCCATTTCCTCTTTCTGTCCTGTTGGTCTGTAGTATCCTCTGGCCTGTTTCTTCATCTACTGCCAAATGCTATGCAATGTGCTTAACACCTAAAGGTTCTCAGATATCCTCATGTGGGTGTTCTTACTATGCAAAGTTATGAAGCCATATTTTCCTTGGGGTAGGGTCTCTAGTTCTTCCTGTTTTTGTTTTTTGTACTTCGTACTTAAATTGAATGCCACCCTCCTCCCCAAAGGAATTCTTGCTCTGGACTCACACAAAGCTTATATTCATCTGACCCCCCCCCCCCCCCAAGAAATGAGTTAGATATTTTTCTTTTATTTGGCTCGTATCTGCACTCTGGAGTAGAGCTCCAGCTTAGGTACAGCTCATGTCTAGGACCATCCCCAAAGGAATTAACAGCCTCTCTTTTAGAAATAAACATGATGGCCAATTCCATATGTATTCAGGACAGTTATATTTCTTTCACAAAAGATGTACTTAAAATACAAAAAGCTCCTAAGTACATGTTAACCAATACTTAAAACATAAGGCATTACTCACCACACCTGTCTCCTGGCTCTTCATCTAGGTCATGCCCCCTCACTGTAGGAGTCCCTGGGCTGCCTTCTCCCTGTATACTGTGTGGCTTGGTGATCTCAGCTCCCATGATTCTAAAACTTATTTATCTAGCCTTAACCTCTCTGCTGACCTAGATGGCAATTTGATGGTACAGTGGATAGAATGCTGAGGTTGGAGTCTGGAAGACCTCAGTTAAAATCTGGCCTCACTTGCTAGATGTGGGACCCCTGTAGCTTCAAGCTCTGCCTCTATTTCCTCAATTGTAAAATGGCATAAGAACAGTACCTACCTCTCTCTGCCCAAACATAGCAGGAGCTTAATAAGTCCGTCCTTCCTTCCTTCCTTCTTTCCTTCCCTCCTTCCTTCCTTCTCCCATCTCCAGCTGCCTCTTGGCTATCTTACCACTGGATGTCCCAAAGACATCACCAACTGAACATGTCCAAAATGGAACTCATTCTTCCCCCCACGCTCCCCAACCATAAACCAACCATAGCCACTTCAAGCTTAGTAATTTTACTTAAATACCATTTTCCTTCCTATTAACACTCTTTGTTCATCCTCACCCCACATATGGAATAGGTTTGAAATTTTGCCTTTTCTACCTCCACTATGCTTCCTATAAATGTCCCCTTCTCTCCTCTGACTCTGCCACCCCCATGGTTCAGGCTCTTATCACTTCACTCCTGGGCTGTAACAACAGCTTTCTGATGTCCCTCCTAGTTTCTCCTCACCCCAAATCGTCTCTACCCCGCTGCCAAAATGCAGTCTGACTGTGTCATCCCCCTACTTAATCAACTCCAGTGACTCCCTATCGCCTCCAGGATCAGACATGAAATCCTTTGGGTTTAATAACTTTGCCCCTTCCTACCTTTCTAAGCCCCTCCAAGCACTCGGCGTTCCACTGACTCTGGCCTTCCTGCTGTCCCTCACTCACGGAACTCCATTTCCCACCTCCACGCCTTTGCCCCAGCGGGGAATGTTGCCCCTCTTCATCACTGCCCCTCTTCCTTCAAGGCTCCTCATCCTGATGTCCGGGCTACTCAGGCAACTCCCACAGACTGCCCTGGATTTCGTTTGCATTCAATCTGTATCTGCTTCTGTGGGGACCAGCGGTTTCTCTCGTGACTGCCCAAAGCTCCTGGAGGGCTGGATAGACATCGGAGCTGAGGCTGTAAAGGAACCCTCCAGCCCGAGTACCTCTTCCAGACCTCGGCGCGGCCTGGCCCTTTAAGGGGGAGGGGGCCAGACGCCTCTGGGGCGGGGCCTTCGTGTGCGCGCTGCCGTCGTGACCATGGTTACGGCGTGACTGGAACGCAGGGGGCGGGCTCATATCCGCGCGGCGCCCGCTCCCCTGACGCCCGGCTCCAGCCCGGTAAGTCAGACCGCGACCCACGGACCCTGAAGCAGCGAGGGGGAGGCAGCGTGGGGTTGGGGAGCCGGGCGAGTCTCCCCTAGGGCCCTGCGATGTGCGGGGAGGGGAGGGACCTCGAGGTGGGGGCGGGGCCTGGCGCGCAGGCGGGGGCTGTGTGGGCATGGGGAGGGGCCTATTCTCCAGGGCAGGCCCAGGATGGGGGCGTGGCCTCGCTTTGGGGGCGTGGCCTATGACACGCCTCCAGGCATTCCCTGACTCCGCCTCTCTCAGTGGGGCGGGGCTTCACGCGGAGGCGGGGACATGGGCTGGAGAGGTGAGCCAGGCCCCGCCCCTCAGGCCCCGCCCCTCAAAGCAGCCACCTGCCCTGCAGGCCGGGGCAGGGGGCGGGGCCCCGCCATGTCCCGCATCCCCCCATCCCTATGGGGGCTGGTGGAAGAGCATATTCAGCCTCCCGAGCGGGCAGAGGTGAAGAGGATCCTGGGTGAGACCGCAGTGGACCTGAGCCTGGAGCTGCGGGCAGAGGTGAGGGTGGGCGGGGTCATAGCGAGGGGTGGGGTTCTCCGGCCTTCCCAGCCCCACCCCAGGCCCTCCCCCTCCTTCTGTACCTGGCAGGTGGAAATCCTGGAGGCCCTCCTGGAGGAGGAGCGTAGGGTGGTCCAGGGTTCTGGCCATGCCCCCCACCCCACCCCCTTCTCGCTGCTGGCCCCGCCCCCGCTGATGCGGGACCTGGTGAGGAGGGAGCTGAGGCAGCTGCTGTGTGGTCTTCACCAAAAGGCGGTGCTGGAGGGCAGGTAGGAGGCTGGATTCCCACGCCCCCCTCTGGGGTCCCCCTGCTGCCACTCTGCTGCCTCGCCCAGGCCCCGTGTCCGAACCCCAGAGATCCCAGGGGTTTGTCCCAGCGCACTCCCAACACTCCCCCAGGACCCAGAGACAGCACCTCCCATTGTGAGCCCCTTCCCCCTGTGGAGTCCCCTCCCCTTTTCTTTCCTCCCTCTGGCCCTAAGCTCCCTGGGGCTGAGGCCCCCAGCCATCAGGTGCACCCCTCCAGGGACACGGCCGAGGCATGGGCCCGCTACAGCCCCAAAGTGCTTCGCTTTGCCCTTGGAGAACCCAGGGACCCTGTAGAGGACGAACTTGAGGCCAGGCTGCTGGGATCCCCGGGCCTCAGGTAAGGTCATCTCTGCCCCCCTGGGTCTCCTGGGGGTCGGGTTCCTGGATATGTTAATTGTGTTTGGGGGTGGTTGGGGGAGGGGAAAAGATAGATGAATAGATGGATGGATGAATGAGTGAATGGGTCGGTGGGTGGGATGGCTCTGAGGTTTGCAGCCCAGGAGAGGTGGGGACCAGACAGAGGGAGCAGAGTCAGTGGGACATAAGAATTGGCTGGGTCGGGGATGTGAGGGGATGAATGGGTGGGTGGGTGGATAGGGGATGGGTGGAGGGATGGGTAGGCAGGCCTACTGGAGTCCAGGAGCCTCTCTCTTGACTGAGAAGCAGCAGCCAGGACCTCAGTGCAATCAAGGATTGCCTCAACGTGGCCAACATCGACCGTGTCATCCAGCATCTCCGGTAAGGGCCTAAGAGCCCAGCAGGGGAGACCCCAGGGGAGAGGAAAGCCAAGAAAGGGTAAGGTCAAGGTCAGCTAGACTGGAGCAGCCAGTGAAGGTGCTGGGCTTTCAGGGAAATCAGGCGAGGGGGAAACCAGGTGAGCAAAAGCCTGGGGTCCAAATGAGCATCCAAGAAGAGGCCAGGTGCCCTGGGCCAGGGTTGGGGGAGGCTTTGAATGCCAGGCTACGTCAAGAGGGAGCCACTGACGGTTAGTACTGAGCAGGGGAATGATGTGATCAGATCTGGATTTGGGGGAAGTTACTTTGGCAGCTGAGCAGGGGAGGGTTTGGAGAAAGGAAGATCTGGAGGTCCAGGAGACCAATAAGGAAACTGCTGCAGTAGTCCAAGGGAGAGCTGATGGATGCCTGAACTGGGGTTGGTTAGTGTGGGTGAAGAGGACAGACGCGAGAGATGTCCACGGAGGTAGGAAGGGTGAGAGTGAGTGATAAAGGAGACAGAAGAGTTGGGGGTGGCTCTGAGGTTTGGAACCCAGGAGATGGGGGCCAGACAGAGGGAGCAGAGTCAGTGGGACATGAGAATGGGCTTAGTCGTGGATGCGGGCATTGGTGGGAAAGCCAGATGGCGATGGAGGCCCTGGAAGCTGCCGGAGAGGGGTCAAGGTTAGAAGCAGAAACCTGGATCTGGGGCTGAGGACAGACTGGGGGAGGCACAGTCGTGCTGCAGCCTATGACCCCTGACCCCTCTGGCCACGCTCCAGGACCCTCCTGAAAGAGGAGTGCCGTGCCCTGGAGAGAGCCATCGAAGCCCTGCAGGTGAGCGGGAGGCTCCATCCCTGCCCCTGGATTCAGTTGCAGAGGGCCTTGGTGTGCACCCGGTCCATGACCACCTGCATCCCCAGGCTTGTGATCATCTTTCCCTTGGCATTCTCTGCCCCTTACCCCCTATGGACCTAGGAGAGTTGGTGGGCACCCCACGGGGGGCCCTACCTTTGGGCCTTGTGTGTGAGCAGGTTTTTGCCTGACCTCTGTTTCCCCGCCTGCCTGCCCTGAACTCTGGGCCCCTTGTCTGACAGCTCGGGTGGGCCAGCCAGAGGGGCAGAGGCAGGGCTCTGAGCAGTGACTTTGTGCTTCACTGTAGCTGTGCCTGGAGGGCGTGCCCTGCTCAGTGACAGAATCCTCTCTGATGATGTTGGAGCCCACCCTGGCAGGTTGGGATTTGGGACGCCCTTTCCCCCTTCTGTGGTCCCTGTGAACCCCAGACAAGGGTGTGGGGGAGCAAGGGAGGACCCTGGGCCCCTGCCACACTGCCCCCGAGCCAGCCTCGGCACTCTTCTTCCCAGAACTGAAAGAACAGAAGAGGGCCATGGAACAGGATCTGCTGGGGCCCCCAGCACCCCTGGGCCTCTGTCCCAGCTTGCAAGGGCACAAGAGCCAAGATGCTGGCTGGCAAGGGCTGGGCAGGTACAGGCCTGGGCTGGACCTTTGGGGAGGGCAGCTGGCAGGGCCTGGGGGGGGCACAGCTGACCTCTTGTCTCCTAGGCAGGGGATGCTCTCCAGCAAAGGCCAGGACCTGCCCTTTTCTGGGCAGCGGCCCCGGGAGTCCCAGAGCTGTGGGCTGCTGCCAGCCCTTTGCCCTACTTCACACTCCCCTAAGCCTCCTCAGCCACGGGCCTCGGGCACCTCCTACCGCCAGAGCCGCTGGGGCCGCCGCCTTCAGTGCCATCCCCAAGAAGAGCCACTGCCCAGTGCAGGGCTTCCTGCAGGCGCTCCCTCCTGATGGCTGGGGCCTGGGAGCCGGGAGCCACGCTGGGGAATAAAGACCCCCTCGCTCAGGAAGAGCTGTGTGCGTCTGTGTGTCTGTGCCTCCACTGTACCCGCCCCCGGGCGCTCCAGAGCCGCCTGCCGGGCCCAGGGCTCGGAGTAGAGCCCGAGGCCCTGCCCGCCTCCCACCACAGCAGAGAAGGCGAGAACAACAGCGACCCAGAGTCAGGAATAAAAATTTCATTAAACCCTAGCAGTGCACCAGCCAGGTTGGGCCAGGGCTAAGCCCCACCCTTATGGCCACAGGGGATTAGAGGAGACACACACAGCAGAGGGACCGAGGACGGGGCCAGCGTGAGGCCGAGGAAGACAGGTAGGCTGGACAGGCTGGGCAAGGCAGCAGTGCCCTCCAGCCCCAGACAGGCCCGTTTGGCACCATCACTTGACACTTTCCCGCGCACCCCTGGGGCTGAGCTTTCCACAGCCCACACCCCAAGGGGCTCTGGACCAGGGCGTAGGGTAGGGGGGCAGGAAAAGGAACAGTCCCCAGAGAGGCCCAAGGGAGGGCGGGTCAAGCCTGGAAGACACACTGGGCCTGGAGCTGGGGGTGGGGTAGCAACAACAAATACACACATTTTGGACACAAAGAGGAGCCCACAGATGTTGTGCCCCCTGCAGACCACACAAGAGCTATTGCTAGAGGGGCGGCAGCCGGACACACAGGGAACGCTGCTGGACACCCGCTGCCTGGAGATGGGCCAGCAGGGCCAGGGGAGTCACAGTGGGTGTCCCCCCAGCCTTCTTCCCTCCATTTCTCTACCTTAACTCAGCAGGCAGACAGCTGAAACCAGCTTGGGACATCACATTTCATCTTCAGGGACGGAGTTTGGCATCCTTGGGAAGGGTGTGTGCCAGGCCTGGCCTGGCAGCATCTGAGACCCAGGGTGGCAGCCAGCTGCATGCTGGGCACAGGACAGTCACAGCCCTCCTGGCCCTCAGGGCCTAGGCTGGGCACCTCCCCTTTCTAGTGGGGATCAAGAGAACAGCAGAAAGCATGAAGGAGGCTGGTCCCACAAGGCCAGACAGGCCCCTGGTTTGGGGTTTTGCCTTTCCTGGGTACTGAAGGGCAAGGTGGCCCTCTCACTCCAGGTCTTATTCTGGTCTCCAGGTGACACTCAGTGGCCTCTTGAGGTCCTTCCCAACTCTCGTAGAACAAGAGCTTGCCTAGAGCCCAGGGTCCCAGGTGACAGGGGGCTCAAGTGCTCCTGTTCACCCCAAAGCAGCAAAAGGCTCCCAATATCTCGGCCTCCTCGGGGGCGTACCCTCTTCTTTCCCACTGCCACCCCTACCCCACCCTCCCACCGGCCATTTTCAGCCTAGGTCCCACATCCCTTGGTGTGTGGACAGATTTAGGGTGGAGGGAGAGTGCTGGCCCCTGACCTCTGCCCCCTCCTGGTCCTGGCACATAAAAGGGACTTGTAATGTAAACACTGGGGGAATGGGCAGGGGGAGACACAGGATGAGAGACTCAAAGGGCACAGGGGTTAGCGGTGGTGATGGCAGCAGTGGGCAGGGCGCTCACTGCCTCCTGCCTGGGGCAGTCTCTGGAGGGTGGGTGGGGAAGGGTTTGGAGGGGGTCAGTCCCCCGCAGCAGTGCTTATATCCGGGAGTCCTGGGGGTGGGCAGAGCCATTGCTGCCCCGGAGCAAGTTGTGGGCTTTGTCTGGGTGCAGGGGCTGAACCTCCAGCCCGTCCTCCGGGGAGATGCCTGTAGCAGGGGCATAGCGACCCGTCCGGTGCTCAGGGAGGGCCGGACCCCAGTCTCTGCTCGGTGTCGTGGCATTTTTCAAACGCTGAATGAGAGAGGGTGGGCAAAGGGAGCAGGCCAGAGAGCGGATCAGAATGGCGCCCCTGCTCCCCTCCCCACCTCCATCCCCTCTGATCCCCATCCAGCTCCTGTTTACCCCCAGCTCACCTGCAGAAAAGTGTCCCCGTCGACACGGCAGAGCTGGAACAAGGCATAGAGGGGAATGCAGATGACCGAGGATAGAGCCATGAGGAAGCCGATGGCCACTGCCCAACCTGGGTACTGGTACTGGTTGTAGGTAATTGGTCGATACTGGATCACCGTGAAGATGAGGATGAACTGCATAATGGGGCAAGGAGAAAGTGGGCCGTGAGAACCCTGGGCCAGGTTCTCTCTGGACCCCGTCCTCCCTGCCCTGGGACTCCCATGGATCCAGGCAAGGCTTGTCCTAGGCCAGATAGCGGCTCAAGGGACTAGGCCCTGCCTTGGACATGCGTGTGTGTGCACACATGTATGTCGAGGGGAGGGAGATGCTTGGAGCCAGGTTTGAGCCAAGGGAGGCCACGGCTGTCCCACCGATTGCTACCACAAAACAGGCCAAAGAGGAATGGCTGGGGCCAAGACAGAGGGGATGGTGCCACCAATAGGGCGTCACCAACGGGGAGCTGCAGATATGCAAATGGGGACGGTTGTCAGCCAAGTGGCCCCAGGTAAGAAGGAATTCTCTGGGGCTGGGAAAGGGACACAACATCTCACAGAATCATGGCCAAAGGAAGGTACCTCACTGAGTCCACCCGTGAACTAGACGCTTTCCTCCTTCCAACATCCCTGTCAAATCCAGCCTTGGCTTGAAGACCTCCAGGAATGGGGAGCTCACTACCTTATGAGGCACCCTATTCCACCTTGGGACAGTTCTCACTGTTCAGTTTTTTCTTACATTGAACCAAAATCTGCCTTTGGGATTTCTACATAATTGCCTTAGGTTCATGGCACAAGGAGAATGTTGAAGCACGGACACTTGGCTTTGAGAGGGGGTGGTGGAGTGGGTAAGAAGTGCCATAAGGGACTGAAGGGCCGCCAGAATGAAAAGGGAGTTGGCTGGTTCCGCTTGGCTCTAGAAAGCAGAATCTGGAGCAAACGGGTTGGGAGGTAGGGGCGTCACAGAGGCAGAGTTAGGGTCGACGTCAGGAAGAACTTCCACCCAGAGGGGACAGGACTGCCGTGGCTGGGAAGCTGTCCCTCCTTTGAAGTACTTTGAAGGACGGTGGACCGATCCCCTGTGGGGCAAGGGGTTCAGAGTGGGGATTCTTCTTCAGGGGTGGATTGTTCCAGAAGGCCAGTTGAGTCCTTTCGCTCCATATGTCTCTGTGTAAGAATACTGTAGCGGTCTGGGCTGGATGACTTCTACAGTTCTGCGAAAAATCCCTCCTTCACCCAGCAGCTCTTCACACTGGAAGACAGCTCCCCCTGAGACTTCTCTTTTCCAAGGTAAATATCTCCAGTTCCATCATCGGATTGTCCTATAGCAAGGATCTTAGCCTCCGGTGCCCTTCTCTGGAAGCGCTCTAGCTTGTCAACGTCTTGCCCAGAACTGACCCCAGCCTTCCAGATGGCTCAGACCCAGGCCAAGGACAGTGGGGCAGGCATCTCCTTATGCCTCTTTGGGAGACACCCGGGGCCACGCTAGCTTTCTGAAACGGACCATTCAAATGCGGCTCATATTGAGCTTGGAGCCCCTTTAAACTCGGAGACCTTTTTCACCTAGACTGTTACCTGGTCACACATGGCCCATCCCAGCTTCTGTACCCGTGCACTTATTTCCCTATTACATTTTATTTTGCTAGATTGGGCTGATCATTCTAGACTGTAAAAATCTTTTGGGATTCTGCCTGTTGTCCCATTTATAATGGTCTTAAGCCCCTGAGAAAAGCCAACAAACTGGGCTGATCCCTATAATGGGATTTAGGAAGGCTGGCACACAGGTGGAAGCAGGCTCTCCCCGTGAGGCAGTTTCCTCTCTCAGATTTTCCATATCTTAAGATGACAAAAGTCAGAGATGAGGCAGCCAGATGCCAACAACATTGGGGGTGGGGAGGGAAGAGACATTGGCTCGTTATATGTTCTTGCAAGACTTTGAGGAGGCACGTTTAGAGCTGTGCATCTCCCAAGTTGTTCTGGGCCTTTCCCTGGAAGGCTTTCTGGGAAAAGCTCTTTGAGAATTAATGCTCACCTAGGACTCCAGGAGTCGATATAGGCACCTGAGCCAGTGGGCAGAAACCCAGGTCAGCCGATGGGAATACTGAATTCACTCCTCGGACTCAAAGCTGGCTGCCAGTCGAGGTGGGAATGGGCCTTTGCCATGCGAGGAGACAGGGGGAACTAGGAAGGGGGAAGGAAGTGCTGCCCTGGCCAGCCCCGAGGGACCGTGATGTCTGGGACACTTGGAAGTTCATTCCTGCAAAGGTCTTTCAGCGTGTTGGTCCTCCTTCCTCGTGGGAACATGGAGGATTGATGGAGAAGAAGCTGGGGGACCTAGACATCTGGCTTTTTCTGGAGTGGGTGTGTTCCCATCTCGCTGGTCTATTCAGTGATTGATCTGCTGAAGAAGGAAGTGAGGCCCTTGGGATCCTGCAGGTGAAGGCAGTGAGTCATGAAGGACTGAGGGCTGATATGGGGTCCTGGGAAGCAGAAGAGAGCATCAGAAGTCTGGAACGACTGGCCGTGTTGGTCCATGCTCGTCTGCCCAGTAGTGAGCTGGTGCAGCCCAGGCAAGCAAGCAACCAGCGTCGATTAAGTGCTTCCTAAATGCCAGGTGCTGAGCTTGGTGGGCGCCACCTGGTGGCCTGCCCAGAAACTACTCCAGCCACTCCCCTGCTGGCTGATAAAGTGAACTTCCACCTCTGTGGGAATAAGAGCTTCAGGGTGATTGGAACAAAAGTGAAAAAACTCAAGGACAACCAGGTTCAGATGAGCTCAGAGGTCTCTGCTGTCCTGAGGTCCTGTGATTCTGTAAAGAGCTTTAGGGAATACTGTGAATGGAACAGTCAGCACCACAGCAGCTAACCTATACAGACTAATATAATAAAGACAACAATGATGAGGAACAGCGAAAGGAGGATGTTAATAGCATTTATATAGCACGTACTATGTGCCAGGCACTGTGCTAAGCATTTCACAATTGTTATATCATTTGATAACCCTGGGAGGCAGGTGCTATTATTATCCCCATTTTACAAATGAGGACACTGAGGCCAACGAAGTTAAATGACTTTCACAGGGTCAGACAGCTAGTAAGCGTCTAAGGCCCAATTTGAACTCGGGTCTTCCTGACTCCAGGTCTGGCAGTCCATCCACTGAGCCACCCAGCTGCCTGCCTGTGTCCTACTAAGACCATGTAAAAGGACAACACAGGCTGCCACCTAGAAACCAGTGATGCAGACTTTAGTTCCTGGGAAAGAGATCATTAAAGAGATGGTTGGTGGGCATCTAGAAAGGGAAGCAGTGATCAGTCACAAAGAACCAGCCTGGCTTCCTCAATGATGGAGAGATCCTGGCAGATTCTCACCATTTCTTTTTTTGACAGAATTACTAAACTAGTAATAACAACGCTGTGGATAGAGTTTGCTTAGGTTTTAGCAAAGTCTTTGATAAAGTAACTTGTCATATTCTTGTGGAGATGATGTGAGCTAGATGATAATAAAATGATCTGAAGTCAAAATTGGCTAGATGGCTTCCATGTTAACATGGAGGTCTTTAGTGGAGTGGCTCAGGGATCTATGCTCATCTCTTTGCTGTTTGCTTTTTTATCAGTTGACTTGGATAAAGGCATAGATAGAATGTTTTTCTAACGTATGAATGACACCAAGTTGGAAGGGATAGCTAACACACTGAATAACAGAATCAGGATCCAAAAGGATTTTGATAGACTAGGGCATTGGTCTAAATCTAATAAGATGAAATTCACTGGAGATAAATGTAAAATCTTACACTTACACAAAAAATCAATTTCATTAGAACAGTTAATGGTTATATAGAAGTTCTGAAAAACATCTGGAAGTTTCAGTAGATTGCAAGCCCACTCAGCAGTATGATAGGGCAGCCAAAACATCTAATGTGACCTTGGACTGCTCTGGGAGGGGGCATAGCTTCCAGAAATAGAGAGGTGATAGTTCCTTTGACCATTGCCCTTGGCAGACCTCATCTGAAGTACTGCATTCAGTTCTGGTTTAAGAAGGATGTTGATAAGCTGAGAGTGTCCAGAGGAGATGGTAAAGAAACTTGAGTCCAGATCACAGAAGGATCAGTTGAAGGAACTAGAAAAGAGAACCCTCAGGGGGGCATGATAGATGTCTTCAAGTATGTGGAGGGCTGTCTGTCATGTCTGAACCCAGGGGGCAGAACCAGGAGAAACTACTGGAATGATGTCAAGAAAAAAAAAAAACTTTCCAATAATGAGAGCTGGACAGAATCGACTGTCACATAGTAGGTGCTTCATAAATGTTGATTGATTGAGTGATTCTCAAGGTGATGGGTTCCCTCTCCTTGTGGGTCTTTGAGCAGATGTGTCAGATATGTCAGAGCAGAGATGGACGGTAAGCTGCTGAGGTCCCTCCCAACTCTTGACTCCATCATTCTGTGGTAAATGTGGATGCGGACGCAATGCAGAAAAGCAATGGGGTAGGGCACAAAGATGATGGTGGACATGCTAGATATATTGGTTCAGACAAGTTGCATTTTCAAGGTCTTTTCTGAAAGTTTAGTTATTTATAAATATAATTTTGTATCATAAGTGAAAGTTCTAGAAGTTTTCTCCACAAAGTCCTACTCCGATGCCTCATCATGGCCCAGGTTCTTGGGTACTATGCTACTGCAGAGTGACTCATATTCTGTGAGGCCAGAACAAGTTCAAGTCTGGTCCCAGCAACATTTGGGGTCTGCCTTCTGAGGACCAGGAGTAGCTCCTCCCAGCAGACAGGCTGTGGAGTGGTGAATTTGGTGGTCCTTGCATCTGCAGCATGGAGGAGAGGGGTCAGGGATGGGGAGAATGGTTCTGATGGATTCTGACACTCTCCAGGTGAGATCTTCCTCCAGCAACCAGGCAGCTGGACTCTTGTTGGGAGAACCAAATTGTATCAATGATGTCATTCTTGCTAGAAAAGAAACCAGAAGCCTGAAGGAAGCTGAAGTTCTGTGGAAGTCCGGCTCATAGGTTCTCCTTGTTGAGGTGTATAAAGAGGTCAGGGGAGTCACTTTGGTTGTGTACCTAGAGTCAGCATGAAGAACCATTTCTTGGGCTGCTCAGCCTCCTCACCTACAGTGCTCACAGTAAGCAGAAGCAA